GTATTTTATTTATCTTTCTCTGATATCGAAAAAGCTCTCTAATTCCATCCATCGTAACAGTTGGATCGTTTTTCAAAGCTTAAAAATTGGATCCGTAGACTTGAAAGATTAAGATTCTCTCCATCTATTTTTGATGGATTTTCCTACGAGGTTTTCCCTACACATCAGAATTCTGGAAGATGATTTTTCCACTGTGAGCCTTTCTTTGGCGGGTAAAATTAAAAATTGAAGAGAAGCAGGGTATTTTTTTACCGAATTTGTTTGGAATTTCCCCCTTTTCCTGAAGAGTTAATGGTACCAATCGTGTAAGAAAAGTCTAGAAAAATTTATGGAATTCATCGGAAAAAGTGCCCTTTAATTTCTTAGAAAGGGTTTTAATCAGTGTTGTAGTCTATGCAATGTTTTAAAGTTCTTTTTCTGAGGATATTTGATTATTTGTAATATAATTTTTACCTTTATTTATTGAAGTGTGTGAAATTTTGAACTATATTTTTATTGAAGATTTCAGCATGGAAATTAACCTTGTTGTTGTTTCTATTGCCAGTCAGATCGAGTCCACGAAATTCAACGTGGCAACGAGCTGGTTTTAAGCTAGTCGTTAGCCTGAACTTTAAGCACCATACAGGTGACAGTGTGATTTAGCTTTTAGAACACCCTGAGGGGTGATTTGGGCTTCTCCACCTCTCAAAAGTGCAAAAGTTGTTTCTTAAATATGAGTGGAAAATGCTTTCAAATATTGTCTACACATCACGGCATTGGGCGATATCCCACATACACACATCAACACTTCATTAAGTTAGAAGGGCTTTTAAAATAATACACCAAAAATAAATTTGAAATTTTTTTTTAACGGAATTATGTTTACAGCTCCTTTGAAATAACAGTCGAACTTATTGCAAACTTTAGAGCGATATGGCCAGAGTTAGGGATTTATTTAACATGCAAATAATAAATATACAAATAATCAAATTAATACATAGGATTTATGCAAGTAAATAATATAAATATTCTATTGTTGTTTGATAGTGCGGTAAATAAATATCTGGCATATTTAATATGGCCGTTACCCTTCAGCTCTTTGGATATTTCTTAGAGTTAAGCTTTGGATTATTTCGTTAAACATTCTTATAACCCTCCCCTCTCAATTTACAAAGGACAGGTTTAGAATATTTTAAATGGAAGTATATTTATCTCTTATGCCTCCGAACCCTACCCTTTCGGAATTGTTTTAAGCAAAATTCATTTTTAGTAGATATCTACTCATTACAAGGAACATGTTTGGCGAATTTTTTTCAAATCTGCAGGTCTTACGGTTCAAAAACGAGAATTTTTTTTATCTACGTATAACGCGCCCCCAGAAATCCCAGAAATCTGCCTTGGAAGTCGATTTCCCGTACACCTATTAAAAGCGTATCTCTACTCGATAAAATAATCATGCTTACCAAATTTCAATTGTGTAGGATTATTAGTTTAAAAATAGGAACTTTTGTTTTTATGACACCTGCTACTCTTTTCATCTTTCCAAAGGTTTTATTAACAACACAAAAACAGTTCCTGGTCAATCTCTATTTAACATTAACCCCCTCCCCCTCCTAATTTTAAATCCGTAGGTGTAATAGCAGAAAAGCGGAAATTTGTATCTATAACGTTTCAACTACCCACTTTGATTTGTCCATTTCAACACAATCCGTTCTCAGTTGATGTCTACCTAATAAATGGAATATTCTCACCGAACTCCAAGCCTGTAGTTCTAATACAGTCGAACGTCGTTTATCCGAACGTTAAACCGGAGAGTCAAATATCAGAACCAGTTTTTTTTTGTCAACTACATGTACTGTACATGAATACGTTTTCGAGCAGTGCGATGCTCAACTGTTCGTTTCATGTGAGGCATCAATATGAAGGACGCCTGCTACATGTTAGCCGAAACGTGGGACTCGCTCGAAAGACAGAGCCTGAAAAATGCATGGAATAAGCGGTGTCCAGATTTAGAAGGCGAAAAAGACTTCAATAATAGCCTCAGGGAGGAGATAACCGACTTTGTACAATCGATCCCATGATTTCAAGAATGCGATGAAGATGTAGAAAACTGGATGCCATGCGATGCAGAAGACTGTGGATTTCAAATGCTAAATGATGACGAGATTGTGACTTCGTGCAAAAAGAATCCGACCCTGTCGGCGATGAAATGGATGAAAAGACAAGGAAAACAACCAAAGTAGCAAGGGTCCATCCAATGCTCACGCATTTTCTGCATTAAAGACAGCTATGGAGTGGTACGAGCAACAATCAGAGTGCTGTCCTATTCAACAACAAAAGAATCGGAGACCTTGCAGGGAAAAAACGAAAGTTTAGAATGGTACAGCGAAAAATAAGTGGTTTTTTTTCCACAATAAAAGTAAAATTGCGACATTTTGCTTTTTATTTAGCCTGTTTGTGATGATTTTCAATATTCATATAGTGTCCGGTTCCATATTCTGCATGGATCACATTCGGTTATCCGAACAATCGCGTATCCGAACGGTGTCCAGTCCCAATTGATTCGGATAAACGACGTTCTACTGTAGTTCTAAAACGAGTGTACTTTTTTTAGACTTTGTGACTCCCAGAATCTCCTTGGGAGTCCATTTTTTCAAAATCCGTTTTAAAACACGCCAAATTAAAAGATGTCGCCAAATGGGCTCAATTCATGACGGTCACATGATAAAGAGAAACATGTGTAATATTGAATTCAAAACAAACATGAAACTAACTGTACTTGTTGTTCTATTTGTAAAACTTGGGCAAAATTTCAAATTTTATAACTGGGTAAAAAAGGCTCAAATGTTATAAAAAATTCTTCAAAAGATTTTAAAATTAAAAAATCTTATTTTATGCGTGTGCTTTTAAATGAGATGCCTTTTGTCTACCGATGTGCATTATTGTTGTTGACAAGTTTGTATTTTTTAAGAGAAAATTTCTGAAAAGATCAAAAGTCTGCAACACAACGAAGCACATAAACTGATTAGCCGGAAACCCATGATTGCTTTTATCGTATGATTTTGACGTTACATGAGGTTTTGAACTGATTGTCTAAAAACACGTGGTTATCATTATCATGTGACTATGACGTCACATTAATTGAGACCATTCAGTAATCGCCTTCTAAGCATGAACGGGGACGATTTTCTACTATTGGCTACATATTACGGTATTCGGCGATTTTGCACATACACACACAACCTTCCTTATGCAAAGCAGTTTTAGAAAGAAATTCACTCAAAATAAATTTCAAAATTTGGGGTTGGTTGGGATGGAGAGGGGAATATACTCACTCTTTTTTCGAAACATCAGCGAAGCTCCCAACACAGTTTTGAAATTATACGATATATGGATTTGTAAACGCCTCAAGTAAATATACAAACATTCAAATTTAATAATAATATGCTCTGATTTACGAATTGGTTTTACATATATTGCATTATAAATTACTCATCGTCCTTATTGGATCAACAGCTCCGGATGGGCCTTGGCCTTCTTCAAATCTTTTTTCTAAGCAGTTCTGTTTTCCTTGCCGCCAGTTCCATACTTTTATGACTTTGAAATCAGTGTTTAGGTATCTTACTACTTGCTATAATTTTTTTTCTTAAAAAATGGAGATATGGGGATTTTTTTTTTGTGGATTTTAGATTTATTTAGAATATTTTAAGAAAAAAATGCTGAAATTAAGAAGAGAAAAATAAATTATTATTACTAAAATGGGAAAAATTATTAAAAAATTACATAAACGGGGCCCAATATGCACAAAAATTTATGAACTAAGTCTCAATCAATTGTGATGTTTAACTTTGATATTCATTTCTGACCTTCAGGATAAGAAATATTTTAATTTTTACAAAAATTAGAGCACTTTATCCTAGTTATTATATGAAATTGCTAAAAAAAAACTAATATTATGTTCACATAAGGCAACAATGATTGATAAATCTGAAGCGTAAAACACTGCTAATATTATACAGAACATACATAAAAAATTTCAGTTTATTTTCAAAACTTTTTGAGCAATCGCTGTCCCCATTTTAGCATTTTCTAAAAAAACACACATTTCGAGTAAAACGCCTTTTAAAGTATGACATCTTACTGAAGGTTGTGGCATCTGCTTTTTCTAAAACACTTGTAGTTTTTGTTGTAGTGAATAGAAAAATAAAAAACTTGGTATTTTTATAAAATTAATAAGAAATAAATAAAAAAAATCATAAAAATGATCTTTCAATTTTTGATAAAATTAATGATTTTAGGGAAGTCAGATACTTTAATGGAGCTTATCCATCGGTGTTAAGCGCCCTCTTTGCCTACTACCCATAGGTTTATGTTTGAAGATCTTATATGTTGGGCTAGTGGTATCGAAGTGGCAAATATGCCCTGCAAATCGAATTCTACTTAGTTTCATGAATTTCATCACATAAACTAATGGTTTTTCTCAAACTGTGCTATATATTAAGTAGGGAACATAAACTGAATCATAATGGTAGACAAATAGCAGTGTAGAATTTCATCACATAAACTGATGGTTTTTCTCAAACTGTGCTATATATTAAGTAGGGAACATAAACTGAATCATAATGGTAGACAAATAGCAGTATCTTCTGTGTTCATTGTATTATGTGTGTCGAGGGTAATCATCAATAACTTATTTAAATTACAATCTTAGAAATAACAAGTAATATAAAAAAACAAATAAAATTAGTTCCTACTTATGTTAACAAAGCACATTATTTATTTTAGTTACTTTTTATTAAATAGCCATAATTAATATTAGTATACATAGATATACATAGGACAGAATCACAATATTAAGTGATAAAATAGAAAACGATTATCCTTGAAATTTTTCATTTTCCTTTCTATATAGAGTGCTGGACTCTTATTTTTGTTTGTTACTATTTATTTATTCATTCATTAAATTTAAATATTCCAATTAAATAGTATAGTAAAATAAATCACATTCTCAGAAATTAGGCCGTCCCGGGTGGGATTCGACTCCACGACCTTTGGATTAGAAGTCCAACTCAGTAGCCAATGTGCTACAGGGACACAAAGAGCGATTTTCCTTTTTATATAGGGTGTTGGACTATTATTTTTGTTCGTTACTAATTAGTCATTAATTAATATTTGAAAAAGCCGTATTAACATCCAGTGTCATACACTTGAAGTTTAAAAAAATGCATTTGAATTTGAGAGGATCAATAAAAAGTATTTTATAAGCAATTGAAAATTTGAACAAGATATATATATAAAAATAAATATATATATAGGGAGAGTGTGAACTATTACTAGAAATTGAAAAAGAATAAGCAGCATGGGACGGGAATAGTAATCGTACTAGGTAGAACTTTGTTTGATGTTAATTATTTAGAAAACACATAATATATATCATTTAAGGCACAATCTCTTTTGAGGCAGAAAAACAGGCAGAATAGTTGTTGGCTTAAGCGAAAAATAGTTTCCCATTAATGCTGTTTGGTAGGAACTTTATATAATGAACACTTCCGAAACATTACCGGTCGCAACAAATTGGAGGAGGGAGAAAAGGGGGAGACCTTGGTTAATTTTCTAAAGCCGCTATTGGATTAAAAGAAACCTGGCTTAGTGAATTTAGCTTCCTGTAATGGTATTGAATTAACTTCCTTTTAGAATGTCATTTACATAAATCAGGATTTCCATTAGAGTGTTGCAAAGATACAGTGACTAATTTAGGGTTCTGGTTTGAGCATTTGTTTCGCAACTTCCTCAAAAGGGACTTTGTCATAGATGTATTTTTGGTGGATTAAATGTTAGGATGTTTTGCATTGGGATCAATGGTAGTAAATATTTTTGTTGGGTTTTGTAGTAGCAATGTTTATCGTTGAGATGAAGGGTGGTAATGTTTTTGTTGAGATTAAAGATATGAAAGGATTAGAAGAAAGAAGAAAAAGAAATTATAATACGTTTTTCATTATGAAAAAAAAATGAATGATTGCAGTTATTGCACAGAATAAACAACTAGCGCGTAGCAAAATAACATTTAATATCCTTAATTATTTCAGCGCTATTTAATATTTTTTCCCTGAAAATTGAATTCGAAGATCGTTTTCCATGATGTACATTTGAAATTTTTCATTTGTTTTATCTAAATGTCCCTCCTTTCTTAAATCGCCAATAATCATGGCAATTTATATAGAATTTTATGGAATTTGAAATTGAGGAAATTTTTACGTAAATAAAATAGATAACTACAAAGAATCGGCTTACATTATAAAAATGCTAGACATTTATCCTCCCTACTGCCCCAGATATTTAATGACAATGTTAAGACTTTACATTCTTTTTTCTTTATTGTTTTTGTAAGTCCTAGCGCAAGTTTTTGTTTGTGTTGAGAAAATTATTCTTGCCATCCTCGATTATTGATTCAAAAAGGTTGTGAAGCCCCCGCCCGTGGGGACCTCAGTTCTACATTATCTACGCGGCCTGTTTCTGTGGAGAAGAACGCAGAACCACTCAAATCATTCATTTTAAAATCTGTTTATTAAGATTTTAGCTTAAACACAATACACAACAATAATAATTAGGTAAGATGATCTAGAATGAGAAGATGCAACACGTATTACCAAATAGTCGCGTACTTGACCACTGAATCTAACTTTATAGATTAATTCTTCTATCACTAATATATGACTTTTCCTTATATCTTATATAAAATAACTTACAGCTATATCCTAGGTAATCAGCTACGTTCTTTATCTGTTCTGATGTGGCTTGAATCCGACAGTGTTCTTTATGACCTCGAACCCACTTTTGGTTCCTTAGTACCGGCACGACTATGCTATTTCACGGAGTTAGGCTTCTTCTAACTTTATCTCAAATCACTTTACAGCTAACTCTCAACTTAAAGACTTCACTTCCCACTTAGCAATCACTTCTGCACATAGAGACCCGGACATAGACTCCCCTCTACTGCTAACTTACAATATATATATGATTCCTAATTTACATAGCCACGTTCTTCTTGAGTTGGTTGGAAATAATTTCCATTTCGGCCCCAAAGAAACCCCAAGAGGACATTAATAGAAATCGCGATGAAAACCCCGTCACAAGTTCAAGACAGGAATTTCTAAAACAGGAGCTTATTTATCCTCTACACCCCTCTAGCCCCTTTCATAGTCGATTTCCTCAAAAACCATCTTTAGTGAATCTCTACTCATTGAAAGAAACATGTTTGCCAAATCTAAGTCAAATTGTTGAAACATCGGAATTTGTTTAAATCTATAACGTCCCCGAGACCACCCTTGGGATTCAATTTACACAAAACTCATTCTTATTGCTTAGTGCGAAGGAAACATGCTTACCAAATTTCAAGTCTGTAGGTCTAATATCTCAAAAAATGGGAATTTTTTCAGCCATAACGTCCTACTCCCCTTCGGGAGTTGAATTCCACAAAACCCGGTTTTACTGGATCTCTACTCAACAGAATAATCATGTTTTCCAAGTTTTAAGTTCGTGAATCAAATAGTTGAATAATGGAAATTTTTCTTTCGAACGCCCCCCATCAACCTCCCTTAGGGGTCAAGTTTTATAACTTTTATTGCAATTAATCGTCATTGACTACCAAAAGTATTCCTAAATTGTATTTTGATGCATTCAAAGCATTATTTTCTTCCTTTAAATTGTTCCTGCAACCTCAGGAGGTGTATTACCCCATTTAAAAACTTTGGTTTTGAATGAAGGTGTTGACCGCGGTATCCTACTGGTTATGGTTACGGATTTGTGATTGTTGCGTAATTAATTCGAGCCCTAACGGCGTTAAAAACCCACCGTGTAGAGGCGCTGATGGATTTTAAATCTGCCGTTGCTCAAAGTCCGCCTGTCAGCATGGCATGGTAATTTGGAGAGAAATCGTCAGCTCAGGTGTTGTCCTCGTCACTTGAAGGAGGTTCATCGCCAAAAGTCCTTGTCATTCTTAACAGTGCGATGTTAATAAACACTAACACACACTGATGTTATACGTATATTTGCAGATATATTCTAACTAAATCAGTGTGCTTCTCAAACTCTGAATAGTAGCGACCCAATATTCAGTCATAATTTTCGTCGCGTCCCCCTACATACAATAATAATGTATTGAATTCAATAACACAATACTTTGACGCTAAATCTACGACGCAACTACGTGCCACCGACGTATATAAACGTCATGCTAACCAAAACAATAATTAACCCTGACGTATATATACGTCTTTCAAAAGTATGATCTTTTCTGTGCACTGCTATCCATAAAATTATTCCGAAGGCTTTGGAATGCAAAAAAAAGAACCTTGATAGTGTTCGTGAAGGATTTACTTACTCATAGTATTTGCTTATTTATTCATCTTCTCCCCCCCATACATCGCATACGCGAGCCTACTTGTTAAATGGTGCCATTGGGGAGTGATTTGCGTAAATTATTAACGGCAGTTAAGGGACTTATTATAAACCGTGCAAGTGATTAAGATAAATATTAATTGTTGGATATCCTTTTTTATTTGAAAAGTCCATGAGGTCACTGGTAACTTGTTCTTAACTTTGTTAAATTAGAGCAGAACTGGTACATTTCTAAGCATAGTACATCAGCGTGAATGTATATTTTTTTTATGTCAGAATGTATTTTGTGCTTGTTTACTTTTCATAAATTAATAATTTTCTTAAATAATGCTTTGTTTTCTACTTTTCAATAGGCTCGCGCCCTTCTCGTAGAGTTAGGAGGACGCATCCCACAGTTTAAGAAACGCTGAACAAAATTCTAAATTCTAACTAAATTTCAAATTATTTTACCTGCTTCCTTTTCTGCTTCCGTGACCAAAGATGGTTCCGTTGGCTAGATCAACGCCGCTGTCCTCGCTGGGAGTGTGCATGTCTTCCGGGTGATCACGTTCACTGGGGACAGTCAAATGGTGCTTGTCCTGTTGCTGCCTCCTCCTCGCTGAGGCTCGGAAAGTGTTTCTGGGGGACAGGCCCCTGAAGGCTTCGCCCTGAGAGAAAATGGAACACGTGATGAGCATTGAAGAGGATTAAGTGATAAGATACTTTTTGAAGAGAAAAGAAGTAGATACATGAAACAAAAATAAACTGCTGTTAATACAGTCGAACCTCTATATTGCGAATTTTTCTATTTAGCGAATTTTTTTCCAGGAACCTTGAACATTTCATTATTATCTTCATAAAAAAACCTCTCTATAACAAAGTGTATTTTCTATATAACGAACTTTTTCTTTTGTGATTCAATTTTTTTCTCCCTATTTTTAAAGTATTTCTGGACATTTCAAGTTATTCTCACATTTTATGGTGGTCATAAATCTTGAACTGGTTTTGTGAGATCCTAACTCACCGAGAGCAATAGAGTTCTAGACGTTTCATCCAAGAAGTGCAACCTTTAACCCCCACTGTCCAGTTCACTAGGAACATCTTCGATATCCTCTTTCACCCTTAATGGAGTTGTCCTGTGTCCCCGTGTTCTAATTCTAAAATATTGTATGTTTAATATTACTTGTATGCTTTAAATTATAAAAAAGTTCTTAAAATTGATTAATTTTAATAAAAAATTATTTTCTTAATATTGAAAATACAGTGACACATTCGACATTGTTTTTTCATGTTTTCATTGCAGTTTTTCTTTCTTTTTTTTGATAGGTTAGATATACAAAATAAACATGCATTAATTAAAAAATATGTTAATAATTATTTTCTTTAATATACAGCATTTAGGAATTTAACCTGTGGTTTACAAAGTATATTAAAAGATGATTCTTTGTGTAACAAATTTTCCATATTACGAGCTTTTTCGGGATTTAGCGACTTTGTTATATAGAGGTTTAACTGTATTTTCATTTGGAATAAAATCTCTGCAGTGCTTCTAATACAGATTAGATGTATTACTATCCATTATCAAACAGCGTTCCTAGGGTTTTCATTATAATATATAGCTGTACATATTGTTTTAAGGTATCCAAATACGCGTTGAAAATGAGTAAATTCGGTCAAGACAGATATTTTTGTTTTTTATTTTATTAAATAGAGCTATC